TATTTACATAATTATGAGAATTAAACACTTTTGTAGTGACAATGAGATGATAAGGTAAAGAAAATGTTAAGTATACATATAGTCATAGAATAATGCAACACTCTTTTCAAATGGACTTATTTTAAGAAGTAGATAAAAAGATCAACGCACCTTTATTTTAGTGTCTTTTTACACTAGACTTTTAAAGACTCCCGTTGTCAGTGGTAGGTAGCGTAGTGGTAACTATACGTATCGGAAGTCTTATTATTTATGTTTGAATACATAATAATATACAGCTAATAAATGTACTGCTCAGAATAACATTCTAAGTGGTATATTTATTAGCCTGTATTATAATTGATTGATTTTATCGGTGCTGTCCACTCCGCTCTAGTCCACTAGACGTTTTTACTACGAGCAATTCAATAACGCCATAATGGGTATCCACTCTGTAGCAAACCACGCGAGACCGTCGACTGCCGGCAGTTATAACTTTTATTATAGTGCACTTTAATAGCTGTTCTTATCGAAGTGCCATTATTTGTAGTTTGTAGAATCTGTGACCTATATTGTCTGCGAACCACAGACCTATATTATGTAGAAGTTATAAATATTTTTTAGGAAATAGAACACTAGTAGTTGGTTTTATTGAAATAAAATTGATCAGCACTTATCTGGTCATTTCTTTAAGGTAAGGAGATTCGGCCGGAAACAATTGAGTGCGATTTTCAAACAAAAGCTATTTTTAATAAGTATATGATTACATCGTCATTGACAAATACAGTGAATAATAACATTTCTAGCTGGCTATAACAAAACACATCTAAATAACAATTATTTGCAGATCTGTATTATCATTTTAAATATTTAAAAATACCTATATCTTGTCCATATGTTACTAGTCTTGTTATCTTTTCTCGGTATCAAAGAAATAACAAGGAGAAAGCCAAGCCAAAGTTAATAATATTTAATGCCATATATTTCATCCTTGCACTGCAATAATACTAAAGTTACATCCCCATGATGGAAATGTATTTTCTCGACCCCTTAGGCTTAAGCTCAAACTCGGTGCAGCGAGCTCTGATATTGAATGGATTTTATAACGGATATTACGTATCCTGTAGTTAATAGTCACAACCACAATATTACGACATTAATGGCTATGTAATTTACAGTAATTTAAGTTACAATAATATAGAATTGGAATATATATTGATAGAGATAGATAATTTTATTCCAAATTGATCTAAAATTAATTTATTAGAAACTTACTTTTAATTTTAGTAGGTAACTCTGTCACACACACACAGATAATGATCTGTCACATTAGATTATGTTAAAACATAGGTTACAGTTACCTACTAATGTATCATACAATGATTTGATTCCAAATAACAGGAACACAGAAAGAGAAAGAAGCACATGACAAGATCTACATGTTGATAACATGGGTCAAGGGTGAAAATAACAATAAAATTAACATTTTTGTGTTAAAGATATAAATGTAGGCCATTATTATTATCCAAATATTGATTATAATTGAACATATATTATTTTTATGAATTACTAATTGCGACAATTATATTGCAACATTAAACTTATAGTTTTATTTATACTATAACTTCGTTATAGCCACGTATGATCGTGTGTTCAGAACCTATTATGTTAGACAAATAAACATTTGAAACCTCTTCAAAAGCGTAGCGGAAACAGCTTTGCCGCAGGTTTAACACATTGAATAGAAGTTCGTGTACCCCTCCCATAAACATGGCGGTGCACTCAGAAACATATTCCCCATAGCTGCATATCTTTCCTAAAATAGTACCTCTTATAGCAGACAACGCAAACATTTATCCGTGCTACATTTGAAAAAATAATCAAACGGAAACAAATAAAACTGTAACCATCTCCATATAACTTCACAGATAAAATACACGTTACGTGTTGAAGTAACTTATGTATTTATTTTAACAAAAAATAAAACGGAAAAGTGCGAGTAGGACTCGCACATGTTATACAAATATTTTTTAACTTATTTTTTATTTTTATAATAATTTACTTGTACGAAATTGTATGATAATAAATCATACAATTTCGTTGTTTATTTTTAACATTGTCCTAAAGTTTTTGTTTTCTCTTTTTGATTAGAAACTCTAATTACGTGAAGGATTGTTAATCATCACAAAATTAATATTTGATCAACAGGGGAATAAGCCCTATCAATTGACAAAAGAATCATTAACAGATGTACATATTTCGTAAAGAGATTGTAATAAACACAAACAAACATAATCGAATTGCGAAACTCTTCAGTCATCTACAATTGACGATGGTAGCGCATGACAAATACAGTTAAATCAGTGTCTCCTCTTTTTATGTCTGTTGAAACGCCGCTTAATACTTCAGTTAGAAATGACCTAGTTACACTGTTTAAGCCTGATCGATGGGAATTCAAGTTGACTATTGTTGTATTATTTGGCCCTTGTCCAGGCCCTCGAACCTACGGCCTGACAAATAATTGATGACGACCTATCCACTGGAATGCCCGCTCGCACACCGGAAAGCGGGGCGCACTACCGTTAACGTCATGAAATTAGAAAACCAGTTTGGTTCCGACTAAGCACGATAGCCGTATAAATTCAGTGTTATTCAGAGACAATGTCTTTATAATGGTCGTTAATGAATAAGAGTATCTATTAAAGCAGGCCATTTCCGACGGCGCTGACAATTTGGATTGTCGCCGGCTTTAATTTTAATATCTAACATTATTAATTAGTAGTCTGTGACCATATCTTAATCTTGTTGATCCAGACACACAATACTGTAATTGGTATACTGGTGATATTCGTCACCTACCTTATTATATGACGTAACTTAATTTCTTCTTCAGTAGTTGTATATATAATATATTTCGATTTTTAATTATTCGTAATAATATTGGTGGATAGTAGTTATTAAATTTGTATAGAGTATCTGTTAAATAGTCCTAGTGTCGTTTAGTCTTGTAAAAAAGAGAACTATATAGATATCTATATATTATGTCAATAAATAGTTTGATTCCAATGTAAATTATGCATCTAAAAAATTATGTAATCCTCCGATAGAACTATAATAAAAACCTGTCACAGTTTGCACCTTCTGTATAACTATCAGTAAGGTAATACTCGAGCCATTGACATTGTAAACAATTAATGGAATTATTAAGTCTAATTAAAACAAGTTCATTCTTCTTCATACAAACATAGTGTGAAATATAGACAATATTTCGTCATTTTGAAAATATTTATATTGTGGTCTAGTATATTTGATGCAGGACATGAAACACAATGAATGACGCACGTATTGTCTAATACATTTATTTTTATCTTTCACATAACGATTTCAATTGAAGCCAATAAATGTAATCTGTTCGCTTTGTTTCCAATACGCACAATAGTTGCTTAGGTACACTGTCTATGGTGTTTTAAGTATTATATACTGTCTGATTACAAAGGGTTAATTGATCGAAAAAATAGCTAGATATTCATTCTAATCACATCATAAGTCGGGTAACTTTGATTTGTGGTAGTCTACTTTAACACTCTATTAACATTAAGGTGCACTAATTTAAACCCATACTATTAGTGTATTCATAAATATACAATTTTTTAGAGAATTGTTACAGCTGAAACAAACTATTTATAGTGGCTTGCAGTTTTACTACATAACGACAGTAGTACAACATATTGTGGAAACCGCTAGTTCACGTTGTGTTCATTACTGTAATTTAAATCTGGTTAGCTTGGCCTTGCTCTCGAACATGGCTTGCAATGTTTTATTTAACTTTTAATGTACCTACAGTAATGTATGTAAGTATGAAAATAGATTTACTAATATACATTAATCACATTATTTATTTATTTACTCATTTACAATCGTACGTGCAGGTATTGATTATATATATATGGACCTTGTTTGTAGTTGGCTTGCAGTTTTGCTTTCCTGAGGTGTTCCATTGAATTATGTATATAGTTTATATACATAATTAAGTGTAATATTATGTATAGTTTACATGTCCCATGTGACAATTATTCTTGAATCGACCTTCGGTAGCGTTTACTTGTTGAATTGGGTAATATGAGGCAATATCATTATTTCTTGACTGAAATTTACTTTGCCATACATGGTTTGAATGTCACTACTATATTTCTTGACACCATGTAGGGATAGTCAATACCGGTTTGTTAAAAAAAATGTTAATGATAAATTTGTTTTTATGCTTATAAGGGTTGTACCCTTTTACTCAAGGATGTTCTAATACGATAGTCGGACACAGGTCTAAATAAAGTTGTTGACGGCACCCATGAAAACTTTCATTACATATATGTCTATAGTTGTTAAGCGTTAGCGTAATAGCAGGCTAAATCCTCCAATTATGAGAAATCCATAATCAGATTTAAACCTTAACGTAGTGCAGGACTTACAAGTTTATATATATGTATTCCTTATAGTACGCTAGGTGAAGCGTGGGCTACAATGTACGTTGGATAAAATAATCGCATTAGTTTTCTGTTCTTGACAGGCTATTTATTATTAAGTCAAATTCAAGGCCTAATGATGAGATTCATATGGAACGAAGTCTAACCTAGTTTGTTTATTTATTCGTCCGTATCTATCTATCTATCTATGTCTTACAAAGGTCGCAAAGAAGCTCTCAAAAATATGTATATTTTTTCCATAGTTTTATAAAAATATAATCGTTTATTATGTGGAAATTATTTTTTGTAGTTCCTTGAATCATTTTGAGACGACAAATTTAAGACCATCTTAAATTTAATGTCTTAAAATGCTTCTATAAAAAACCCGCCTTCGATATTACTAAAATTGGTAATTGACCAAATATTACATTTAGATTGAAAAAGTCTGTTGTATTTTTTGTCCTTCTATAGTTATCTATAACACACACACACTTAAGTTATTTGTTTAGAATCTGTACATGTTTATAAGTGGTGAGTAATATTTATTAATCTTTTTGTCTGCAGACATTCCAGACATCCCCGAGGATATCAAGAAGCTCCGCGCCTTGCAGATTGCGGACTTCAGCAGTAACCCCATACCGCGATTGCCTGCCGGCTTCAGCCAGCTGCGAGCACTCACCGTACTTGGCCTCAATGATATGTCACTTACCAGTCTGCCCAGCGATTTTGGAAGGTAAGATAATTATTATTGTGTTTCCATAAACGACAGTTTATTGGATATATTGAAATCAAAGATGTAGGTATATTGTGCGATGCGATAATTATACATTAAATATAGGATTAATACTTCCAATAAACATCGTCACCAGCGTCCTAATAGTAGACTATCTTCCACTTTTGGAGAATAAGTTATGCTTAGTAACTGGTACGTATAAGTATGACGATGACTATCAATTACCAAGGTTTGTCTTTCTGATGACTGATGAACTACGATACAATTCCTTATCATTGTGTGTTTATTACCTCGAAATATTTTAATATTAATCATAGTTGGTTCTTATTTACATCGACCGTTAAATACTTCAATATACTAAATTGCTATTTAATTAAATATCATTAACAAAAACCCGTTATTTCGTTAAAAATGTGTGTTCAGTGCTTACAGAATTAAGACTAATTGACCTAACTGTATTCTGCGTGTTTCCGTTAAAATCTATTTGTAAATAACCATATTCTCATATTTTAATTTTAATTACCTTAAAGATTTTGAAAAATACACGTTGATAAATATGCGATATGCTTATGTTCGTAATTAGTTATTAATTTTTTATAATATTTTTTTACATTATTTGTTAGGTTACACAAATATATTGGCGGGCAATATATTACCTGTAGTTAAGTTTTTAATACATATATCTAGTATTTTATGGCAACTATGGATTATGTAATGTTCTTGGAGAAGAATATGCGTCGTGGCTTCGAATTGTCATTCCCACGGGAGCAGTGCAAAACCCCCGTATACAGCTAATCTATACATTTAAATAAAATTGGAGTGTCTGTTTGTAATATTGAAATAACCGTTTTTTACTATATTTATGTGAATATAAATACGGTACAAACACCAAAATAACATTTTTTACAATTGTTGTCTATCTGTTTGTTCCTGCTAATCTCTGAAATGGTTGGCCGATTTTGACGGGACTCATTTTGTTGTATGGTCATGTTTTATGTCCGAGTAGATGTGAAAGCGAAAGTCCAACTGGAAAGTACGGTCAGGTCACTTAGAACGGTCCTTCTATAGATGGCGCATACTCCTTCCATACGCCTTGTAAAAGCATTCTTATTGTTACGAATGAATAAACTATTCCATTCTCTCATCAGTCACTCTTTCAATCGAGAGTTTCACTTTTGAATTCCATGAGAATGTTTAATAATTTCTTATTTTTACACGTAGTTGTATTATACTACGTTTCGATTTATTATAAACATAGTTGTTGTCATGATTTATGTGTAAGCCAATCCCTTAAGCTCATGTCTGCCGTCGTCACCGTCGACTGAATTGATCACGTATAAAATGACACATTGTTTGTCATTGCAAACAATATGTGATTTATTCTAATGTATCATAGTATTATATATATTATTATTGTATTGTATTGGTAGATTTTTTCCAGACGAAATCCTCGCGTCTTACTTAGTCATTCTTCCATGAACGTTATGGGTTAACTTGTGACTGACATCGTAGGATTATTTAAAAATGAAACGTTTTAACAATCACATATATTTTCCTTTATTTTTGGGTCTACGGGGTTACTAAAAACAGAAATAAGAAAAACAGGTAGAAGTAGTTGTGGCATAACTGTAATACTCAGACGTATGGTATCGCGAAGTTTTTGTAGATATTAATAATCTCTATTGCTATTGTTTTTAAAAATATTCTATCGCCCATGTTCATTAGGGATTATGTAGGACTCTGGATTGTAAAATAATTTTTCAATGGTCTAGTACTTTCAGAGATTCATTGTAAAAAAATGTTTCCTCTTTGTCATATTAGTATGGATATCTACCTAAAAATAAGATGAAAGAACGAAAATTATTAAAATATTTCTTTCTTTACCAATCTTAAACATTCGCAAATGTACAAGCCACGACTCTCACACGCAAGTAAAACAGTTTTTAGTTACAGCTATGATTAACATTCAGTGGTCTTTGTCACGGACAGTTATTTCACGTTCTTTTGTATCAGTCAGAGTAACTGAGACTAACATAACAAAACAATTATATCATTAAACTTTACACATAAATTTTGTGATTGTTAACTTTTGATTTGACCAGAGCTCGAGTGGTTGACTGATTTTTTTATGAACTTGTTTATTTATCATGAACATTTAACAAGAATCCGTAATTAATTGAAATTGAATATGTCTTTGTAATTAACTGAAACAGCTACTTATGTACTATTTTTATAAAACTTTTAAAACGTAGTTTCCGGCATTCTTTAAACAGGACGCAGTCTGACAAGCGTTATGCATCTTGCATAACGCTTATCAGCGTTCTATCATTCTTGAACCGACTTATCACGATCAAGTAACATTTACCAAGATTTACCTCCTACTTTGTGTGGTGTGGTGTATGTGTGTGTATGTAAGTGTATGACCACTTGTGTGATCATCGAACTGTATGTTAAATATTTTTGTATGCAATACATATTATCCTCGTTTCATTTGTTTGTATCTGTTAGCACATGAAACCTCTTTTTGTATAAAAGCCATATAATTGTAATTAAAAATAAAAAATAAAAACTTCTTTTCTTTCTGTCAACACGGTCTATCATTTATTATTAATTTTATTGATTTTAAATGCATTATAAATAGATCACAGTTAGAAACACTAACAGTATCTGTCAATACGAAAATTATGTACAATAATAATAAAAAATCTGATTCATTCATATGAAGATATACATCTTCATATGAATGAATCAGATTTTTTACAATAATGTACATAATCTTCTTTTTTCGTAAGTCTTACCTAACTTGTGTTAGCCAATATAATAATTGATAAATACCATAATATCATTTTAATTTATCATTTTTAATTCTCTTGGCACTACGATTAACAGTACGTGTAAACACAGAAATGTTTATTTCACAGCTTGTAATAGAACTAAATGGAGGAAAATGCCTACCTTTATTTATAGCACGTCTGGTTATAAGATGTGGTTAATTTTTGAACAAAATTAAATAAATTCCAATGGAGTGAGTTATGTAATTCATAATAATATACGGTAAATTTTAAACCATTTATGAAGACTTTATCCTGACTTGAATCCTTGAATTTTATGCTATTATTGGCTCTATGTTGATTTTAAAAATATCGATTTTATAGTTCAATTCTTGACGAAAGTTATAGGCATTGAAGATAATGCTAAAACCCCAAAAAGTCTTGACAAAAAAGTTAGAATGACCATTTAGTGAAAAAGAAGGGGACGAGGAGGGCCATATCTTTAAAATTAAACGACTGATGAAACCACGGGTCATACCTAGTATTATATATTCCGTGATGTCTGTGATGAGTATTGAGTCGTTAACGCGCCAAATGATAACAAATAAACTCATTTACACATCTATCAAGAGTGAGCAAAAGTAATAAGTTTATATTTATTATTAATTAAATAATGTTTACTTTGTAAACAAATTCAGAGAGGGTTTGAGTACAGAAACAGCTGGAATATCATTGCAATCATTTAAATAAAACACATTAGCATGAGACATACGTTGCCTTTTTTTGTTAACTTGTTGTTTTTATTAAAGCTAATTATTTTACGTACGCTGTAATTGACTGTTTACATTGAATCTTTATTTTACATAATTGTGTTTGTTTAAATTACAATGCATGCATCTTAACTCAACACTTTTGTATATTATTCCTGCAAACTAAAACAACTTCAAAATAGTGATGTAACACATAGGGCTGAGCTGTAAAAACAATTTTTTTTTTCGTTTTTGTTGCTGTAAATATTCAATAGACTAATATCAAGTATGTACGCGTTAAACAATCATCTGAGTGATTCATCGTGATGGCTTGTGTACAAAACCTAACGCTAAGTACTTTGACATCTGTTTTGGAATGCGGCCTCGAGGCTCTATACGTGAGGCGTACTAGCTTCGTGTTATCAGTAAACAATATTGTTATGTTCGGTACTCCATTACCTTCATGAGTTACTAGTCTTCTAAATTTTATATACGTCGGTGTATATATGAGTTATTAATTTTTGAAATATAATCTATACTATTGCAGTGAGTATAGGTTATGATCAAAATTAAATAATATGAAAGTTTTCGCTGAAAACGTTTTCTATAGCTTTTTAACACCTGCCTAACAAATGCCTAAAGATACTCTGTGAGGTGAATCTGTGAGCTTATTTTTAGACAATATATTGTGGCATTTTTGTCACTGATATATGTTTTTAAAGCATTTGATATATCAATGTATGTAATGTTTCTTAACATTAATTTAGCTATTATCATTTATTAATGCTGTATAAATCATTAAATATATTGTTACTGTACAAAAACATAAGCAGTTCTAATCATTCAGCAGTAATCAATCAATAACTGGGATATTAATAATGATGATGATTTAATAATTAGTTTTTCTGTGATTTTCATATTAATGTCAGACGTAAATTTGTGAATAATTTCACGATTCGAGAACAGTATTGCTAGAAATAGTTCTCTTTATGTCACCAATATATTGTGATGCTTTTATCAGATACCTATTTTCAAAAACTGTTTAGTTATAAACAGTCTCTCATTTATCAATGTTATCAGCGATATCGTCCACACGTGAATAGTAGTGATATAAGTGTGCGCGTAAATTAAATAAAGAAAGAATATTTTAGACATTGTACTTGTTCCTATAAATGCCACGGCAAATGTGCGGGATATTATATTGAAAACACTAATATGTATTATAATTTAATCATAACTTTGGTCGTAATCTGAATTATGAGGAATATTAATTGTTTATAATACACACAAAACTACCTACAGTCCAATATTTTATTATAAAGTGTATATATTTTTGAACCAGTTTCTTGTTTGCATTATTCTACGATGCAGTGCTGATTCGTACCACATTCCTAACAGGATAATTTTCTGTTGGTTGAACCTGTGACACGAAAGATTAAAATGTGTATGTGTGTGTGAACTGGTTTTTAAATATTGCCTGTAGCTTGATTTCCTGGGAAGCTTTTACGCGTATAAGTTTAATTTAATAAAACTATTGTTATTGTTATTTGTTAACACTTTAATAATATAAAATAAACTTTCTATCCCCATATTGTATAGTTACAATTTATTCATAATAAATTGTGAGGAATGGTCAATTTTAGTCAGAATTCGAAATTAAATCAACTTGGGAAGTTGTCTAATTGTATTCGAAATACTACGAATGTAGACACGTAATCTAAGGTCGTAGAATAAATCGGCCATAAAATTTAATTTTTTGTGTACTAACACGCAAATTAAATTATAAGCCATTATTTTTCTGATTCCTTACCAGTTTATTGCAAATACGTATTCGATAATCAAAACCCATTTGCACTTGTTTATTTTGATGGAAGTTTATCTTGGACGCTTTACCTTTGAACACACATATGAGTTAATTATTAACCGTTTGTATTGGTGAATTGGAAACATTGGATTTCACTCATTTATTACTTCATCATTACTTATAATTCCAATTTGTAATCACGGAAAAAATATTGTATCGTTTATAACCGACTACCTTTAGTTATATCTATATTAAATATGTTCGTGTAATTTGATATTGATATTAATAGTACATATCTACTAATAAGAACATGAACCCATATAATACATTGATGCTCATATACGTGGTTGTGTTATCTACTAATTGCTATGTTTAACACATATTCAAGCTAGGTCCCTTGCGGGCAAGGCCAAACTCCCGGTCATGGACACTGCTCCCAGTTACCACGAATGCAGTAATAAATAATCATAATATACAAACATATATCTGCTTCTTCAATTACATTTGTTGTTAATACGTAACGCAAACTGCATCTGTGCAGCAAAGATTACGGAAAGACAACTTTGCGACAGTAATTTCATTGTGTTTCCACATCGTTGGTTTGTTTCATCAAATTATTATGTCATTGTCTGTGAAGGTTACGGTAGTTTTTATTGTCTCTGGGAAATTATATTATGTTAAAAAATACTGGATTAGTAACATTTTCTTATTTAATTACGTAGTTATAATATTAATTGATGTTATAGGTATTACAATTTTCTGACAATATTAAAAAGAGACATTATATATTTTAATACTTATTTCATTTTCGTTTCAGTCTGATATCTCTTCAGTCGTTAGAGCTCAGAGAAAATTTGTTGAAGTCACTACCAGAGTCGCTAAAAAATTTAACAAAGTTGGAGAGGTTAGATTTGGGCGACAATGAAATTGAAGAACTGGTATGTTTTAATTTTATTTATTACGATAAAATGTTGGAGTGTTTCTTCCATCTTCATATTGTTTACGATGTTACTTCTTTATTACAGCCTGGATTCGTCGGAGAGTTGCCTGCATTGCAGGAATTATGGCTGGATCACAACAAGTTGCAGTATTTACCACCAGAAATTGGTAACTTAAAAGCTCTAACATGTTTGGATGTCAGCGAAAACAAACTGGAGAAACTTCCGGAAGAAATCGGCGGGCTTTGCTCCCTGACTGACTTGCACCTCTCGCAAAATATGTTAGAAACGATACCAGACGGTACCGGCGATTTATCCAAGTTAGCTATACTAAAGTTGGACCAAAATAGATTACATACGTTAAACGAAAATGTAGGAAGGTTAGTACACCATACTGTTTAATATATATTTCAGTTTGTTAGTTTATCGTGCGTTATTTATAGACGTAATGATTCTGAATTGCTTTTTCAGGTGTACAAATCTTCAAGAGCTTATATTAACGGAGAATTTTTTAATGGAGCTGCCTAAGTCGATAGGGAATCTCAATGAATTGACAGTACTGAATGTAGATAGGAATTCTTTGGGTGAAATACCATTAGAGATTGGAAATATGATGTTGTTGGGCGTACTAAGTTTAAGAGATAACAAATTAACAAGACTGCCAAATGAACTCGGAAATTGTAGATCACTGCATGTTTTGGATGTCAGCGGCAATAGGTAAGTACTCAAATAAATCAAATAATTGTGCAAATTCCTAAACAAAATATACACGGAGTTCACTATGCCATAATACAGTTATTGAAATTCATACAGGGACGTTTCAAATTACTATGATGATTCCTAACCTATAACAGAAAATAAATTGTGAAAAATAACGCCACACATGTAATTATATGCCAATAAATACTCTTTTCTTTTTTTTATATGTTCCATGTACAAAGTGTCATTAATCAACAATTCTAAATTTAATTGGAAATAATATTATAACGTGTAACAAAACGTATCCTTGTATATTATAACTGTAGGCTTCTGTTGCAAAGTAGTTCTGTTAGTAGACTTCCAACTGTCTCAAATATATGTAGCTAATGCAAGCACTATACATATATATGTCGAATATTTTATTGAGTGTACAAGAAATGCATCCCAAATAGGGTGGGTTAGGGTGGTAAAAATATTAATCGATGTACACGAATGACATGTTTGTCAGAGCATCGACTTCTTTTAATTATATTCGTGTGTGCTCGACTATGGCATTAGTCGTCGTAAAATAACCGTGGTCCGATAATATTGGATTTCTATATTTTATTACTTTCAATATTAAATTGTTATAAAGTTCTATGGTTTCTACTGTACAGCTTATTTTAATCATTCGAAATAGGTTTATATAAAGTTAATTAAGTGATTTACTTTAGATATTTTACTATTTTAACATGATCCTTTGCACGACTGGAATGTCAAATAAGCTGAAGTTGTGCCTTGTTGAAATTAGAAATCATTTATGAAAATCAGTAAACGGCATCATGTACAGTATGTAGTACCACTGTGACGGCCTCCGTACTCTTAATGCGTTGCTAATCGTAATACGTGTATACCTAATTAATAATGAAAACTGTGCATTATTAAGAAAATGACCGATATGAATGTGTTAAAGTATCGCCCACCTACCACATTTTTCTTTAACATAATCGGCAGATGTTACTGTAATAATAAATTAAGAATATTGATAAAAATGAAACTTTATTAATATTCCAGGTTACAATACTTACCCTACACATTAGTGAACTTGGAACTAAAGGCTGTTTGGTTATCGGAGAATCAGGCACAACCTCTCCTGAGCTTCCAGACAGACAGAGATGAAACTACTGGCGAGAATGTTCTCACCTGCTTCTTGTTACCTCAACTTAGTTACACGCAACAACCAGGTACGTTATTTTATATATTTTTTATACTAATAATTACGCTTTTGGTGTTTTGTTAGTCTTAATGTACATTGATGAGCATTGGTTAGATAACTGAATGAACTTTGAACGTGGTAATTATTCAATATTTTGTGGTTTTATCCCACTTGCGTATTATATTGCATACAGAGATAATTTATATCTCTCCACAAACCTACCTACTTACTAACATTTATAGGTTTTAAACATGCAAGGAATGTGTACTAGAGCACTAGTATATTTGAAAGCTTGAAAGTCTAATACTTATTTTATTATGACCAATAAATATTGGCAACAAAATAAGTATGACAATATATATTTATATAAGAAATGTAGATAATTAATGTGCAGATAATATACATTTTTATCTAATTAAAGTTTTTTCTTGTTTTCTTATTTTGCATCATTTAAATAAGAGAATTGCGCATATTTAATTTTTATTTACGAGTTTACAAAATGTTTTTGTGGCAATTATTTATTAGACTGACGTACTGACTATTGATCATATACCTACACTTACAACATTTGCTGGGTAAATTAAGATTTCCATAAATTTCCATAAATATTTACTATGACAAAAGATAAGATATCATTTAATATTGCCTTTTTCAAAGTAATTTCGGTTTATTTTTTAATAACTTTTCTTACACCTTATTCATTTATTGTCTCCTCATTTTTGGTGATTGGTTGTCAACAGATATTAGGTTTTCATTAAAATATAGTATCGTGTAAGTATACCAAAATGTCTAAGACAATGAAATATAATATCTACCGATATGGTATATATACATGGCTCATGACAAACCAGGCAATCATTCGTATCGTAATTAAAAATTTTATTGAATTTTTTGTCTGTTGTTGAAAATTAAATGAATGCTTCATTAAATTGATTTAGACAAAAAAAGTACTATAGCATAGTATATATAAAAAAATGATCTGATAAGTGGAAATACAATATTTAAAGTCGCTGTTGCATATATGTAGTTTGCTATAATTATACTTTTTAATATTTTTCATATCGGACAATTCGATAAGAGATTAATGCCAATTGATTAGATAATTTATGAAATAATAGTATAAAACTAGAATATAACAAAATATATGTTTTAATCTAAATATTCGATTAATTTTACACTTTTTGATTGATTACTAGTCTTACTAAGTCGTAGTTTCCACTGTTGCATCCTATGCACTTTCTATTTGAATGCAAAACAAAACATCAAACTCTTCTATTAGGTTTCTAGTTTTAGTTATATAAATATCTGTAGTTCGAAATATCAATGTTATCTTCACTCTTCGAAATATCTAATAGAAATCAGTTTTTATAAATACATACTGTGTGTACATATATTAACATCGCAACTATATCAAAAATTTTAACATTTAAAGTTCTACATACGTTGTTATAGATTATCATTGACTCAAGATTAGTTTTGGATGTTATAGATAACATTGGTGTTGAGAACCAGCATTCCTTTTAATCATAATTCGTCCTGTATGCTGATTGTTTATTGTGATGTCAGCATATAGTGTGATCATTGTCCTTGCATATGCTTTTTGTGCTTTTTTTTCGATTCTGCATACATGTATCAGTAACAGTTTTATCTCAATTATAATATGTATCCAATGCGAACATAAAAAATATAAGTCTAACCAAAAATATAAATCATCTTTTAACATAGCAAAAGAGGCACTATAATAATTGATGGATGAGATATGTGAAGCGATAAATAAACAATGTTACTACAGTTTAAAAATTCTCTCATCATTTATAATTAATAGAATTGTTACTGATACATTATTAACTGTTCTGTTTTTGCTGTGTATATATACTAAATGCCAGTTTTTGGCACTTGTCACATAATGATAGAGCTGGAACACACGTCCGAAGTCGGCAGTGGACATTGGTACAGGGATCACAGATTTAATTCACAATCGCAAGAAATATTTAGAGTTAAAGGTAAGGTTCACATGTTTTTGTAATATTACTACACTTTTTAAAATATTGCACTGTAATATTAGATGTCACATTATTTGATTGCATATTGCATTAATCTAAATATAATAATTTAATATAGAAAACAGCAGAAGTTAAATCTGGTAACAAAGGTAGGTTTATCATGGGTGAGCTGTGAATATCGTGTATCTGTATATCGCCAATGCTTCATAATGTGCTTAATGTAATACGTCAACGTACATGTTTGTTCCGTGTAGTTATATATTAATCTCTAAATGTGAAATGTAATAGTATTTGTTACAGGTATTAAAATATTTTTATAATTTCCTTGTTTTAAATCTCTTAAAGTATGCTATGTTCTCTAATGTGGATGTTCCACTAGGATCAACCAGACCATATTTTGCCTAGATTTCTTTATATTATGAACATGTACTACAGAATAGTATAGTTTTTAGATTTCTAAATAATAATATTCGAATTGTGTACTCGTTTACGTTAACAGTATATGCTGGCAATGCACCAGTGAATGATGATAAGGTGAGCATGATCTCATGTTAGTTGGCTCGTCGTGGTGAATTCCCTACTATTAACCACAATGGTTTCAAGGACGGACAGTGTCGAAGTGAAGCTGACATAGTTCTTATTGTTAAGAATGGCGATACTAGTTCCTAGTATTACAGAGTACAAAATGTGATTAGTTTTTGACTAAGTACGTGTGTTACATGCAATATTATTTATAAGGCATTATCTAATGTTTAATACATTTATAGATACGAGTGCATCACGTGAACGCGACCTTGATGACATGGACTGGCAAGAAAAAGAAGAGTCCCGTACGCATTCTGTCAAGTTCACAGAAGAGTACACAGAAGCTAAAGAGGTGAGCCTATGCTGTTGTATATTTACAAGATCTAGAACACGGTGTCTACACAACACACAATCATCGAATTTTAGAGCTACAAGACAACTTTATAATTCACTGCGTTATGTACCGTATCGCTTCCGTAGTGCGAATCTTAGGTTTAGAGAGGAATTCAGGAAAATTGGCAACTGGTTTAGGAATAATCTGTTAGAAAGGTCTATGCGGAGAGCCTATCATGCATTGACTTCTGTTATTGTTGTCTTAGATTAATTGTTATATGGTAAATATATAGGGAAACGAATATGCATGATCTTTTTTGTATATTTTATTGAGTGTATTTATGTTTATTGTGTTCACTATTTTATAATCAGTATTATTCCTTAATTTTTAAGTTTAAAAAATAATATATTGTTGTTACATTAATATGAGTTTTACACAAATGTACAATAATTACACATACTTTTTAACATGAATAAAAAAGCATGCTTTAATTATTATATGAGTAAACTTAAGAAATTACTAAATCACTTTATTATTTTTTGTTATTTGAAAAGGACTAGTTTTAAATATAAATATTTAGAGGCTTTTCTTTCCATAAGTTAAGGACCAGAACACAAAGAAGTTTCTGTTAAAGATTCACATTGAGATCTTATAAAAAATACTGGTTTGACATACATACGAAAACCTGTTCTTTGTGTTTACAAAATTGTAAATATGTAATTAATGTTCATGCTATGCTAATAAAAAGTTGAGTTTATCCTGTTACTCTGCATCTTGTTTATGCAAAATGTATTCGAATTATAGTATTAAATTATTACAGTAAAATGATTTTATATAAGGCCTGTTTCTTTTTAACATGTGTTACATACTATTCAATCCTAGAATTATATTAACATTTACGCCACCCCAATTGTGTCTACTATGTTTTTCAATTAATCATTCCGTAAAAGCTTGAATAAGTTATTTGTGGTACTTTTATTTTTTTATTTACAAGATTTTTTATAACTCGTATCGTCTTGCGTCTTAGTTATTAGTAACTTCGATTTTTAACTCCGTCAGGAACAAATAACTAACTGTATCAAAATATCTAGTACAATTAGTACAATACCTAAATTCAAGCATTTTGTTTAGCTATATATGCGCCAATAACCAATAAATGTTCTATTAAGTATTAAGATGAGTATTCACTTGTTTAAAAGCTTATATACATTAAATTATTGTTCTATTTTCTGTTTTGAATTCAATTTAGCAGATAAATAGTCTGAATTTTTACTAATTATGTATAAAAACCTATAATTTTAAACAACGCGTATACGTTGCGTACGCGTACGCGTTGTTTAAAATTATAGATAATTTGCACTGTACATGAAAATTACAATGTATTTTATTGTGAATTAATTTATTCTCTATATACATTTCTATGCCTGTATTAATTTTAGATTTGAAATATAATATGCACAGGTAAGGTAAGCTTAGCACAGAAAGGAGATTATTTCCAGCAAACATTCACTGTAGCTGCGTTCTATTTGAAGTTGGGCTTAAATAGAAACTTTGCTAAGTATAAGCACGTAAGGCTTTCAGGTGACAAGGGCGTTTAAAAAGTTATAGGTACAATAGATAGTTCTACGTTTTTAAAAGTACATGCACATTAGTTTCACATTAATTTTTATAAAGTTCTGTTTTGATGCTTCTAATGATCATGAGTAATGATGCAATTTTTACATTGCATTTAATTTTTATTAGAAAACTACGTGAAATTAAAAAGGGATTTTAGACAATATATACGTACTCTATTCCTACCATATTTACACTTTAGCTAGTTAAATTTCAAGTCGATATTTCAGCGCTATATTTTTTATTTCAATAATATACCCAATGTTAATAATATTTGAAATTGTACCGAATTTTAACACTTTCTGTCAATTATCAATCATCAATATTTCGTCGTGACAGACGGTTTAACTGAGAGTAATTAATTTTGAATATATTCGGCCCTTATAAACAGTACTACTGTTTAAAAGAACTATAATATATATTGATAACTAATCTCGAAATCTCTCACAGTTTACAGGTCATTGTATGTGGATAGCCGTTAAAGTCTACAGCAGGATTATTTTGTTTAATTTCGTAGCTATTTGATATTTGAGAGACTGGAAACATTTAGTGAGAGGTATCTACCATTGTAATTGTAGGATTCATAACTTTTTTAGGAATAACTATTAAATTCGAAATAGATTGTGTATATCACTTTCTTATTAGAGTTCAAAATCAGGCTGTTACTAAATCTTAGAATAACAACTGATTGTATATGTATCGATTAGTTCTATAAAAACTTTCTAATACTAAAACTAATCACCATGTAAACGATGATTACTATTTAGGTTGTTGCCTTGATAGTATTTAAACACGACTTATTTTTGAAAATATATGTGTAAGATATATTTCAGTACTCTTTACAATATGGGCATAATAAGATTAAAAATCGTGCCTTAAAAATAGTTAGTTAAAAATAGTTCTTGGCTACATAAACCTAAAAAAATAATTAATCTGAGCAGTAGCTAAAAAACACCTTTTAAACAAGTACTTTGATAAATGTTGGAAGTCAGTTGTCGTTGTTATTTAAAATAAATTAACTAATAAATATAAACTAGTTAATATAAGGCCAAAATACAACTACACTGATTGCTTACAAAATATAAATAACAGTACTAAATTATTTTATATTTTATTAGGCACCACTAATTTACGACGTCACTATTTAATTACAGCATTGAGTTGCTCTTATCTTAGAAACCGCCCAAGGTGTAGATAGATGTGCTAGTAGGTTGCAACCGTGTACGATGACCTACTTTGCATATTTTACATTAATATTTAGGAAAATGCGGTCAAAGAAGCTATTACTTTGCATTGAATTTAAATTTATCTCAATGTAATCTAATATATTTTATATTAACTTCAGGAAGTAGTTCAATGAAATGTAGACACACAAATGATGAAATTTATTTATGATATTCTCAAACGGTTTATTAAGTACTTCAATATAAATAACTGTTTATTAAAGCTCTGTAAATTCTATCCGGAAACAAATATATGACTTGTACATATAAGCTGGCGTCGCACTGGTCCTGGAAAAAATGTTTGATTTTAAGGTGCCATCAATTCAGGAGGAGAGTGAAGATACGACACCCTCTGAGTCTACATTCACACCACAATCGTTGCTAGGGTTGCGGCGGCCAATAAACGTAGTCCGCAAGCTAGTCACCGCACAACGGAGAACGTCGCTGCAACGCCTATCCTCCTCTATAACTAACCTCGCGGAGGTACGCGGCAGAGATTCTCAACGTGTGCATTCACAAACATGGCTCTATCCTCTAATGTGATATTATAACGCAATAACATAAAGATAAAAACAGTATTATATAATCAAGGTTAAAATGTATGTTAACTTTGAATATTTATAATAACGGTTTCGATGCAAAAGTAGTGTTACGAATGTTATGGAAAAAACAAATATTACATACGTATACACTTCTCTACATTCAAAATCATGGCAGATCCATGTTCCAAGTATTTTAGATACTTCCTGAAAATGTTTTTTCTGTTCAAATAATTGTGAATGCACTCGACGAGAGCCGTAATGCGCTATCCGCCACTAAACCTCTTGCTCATTAGAGTTCTAGTAACTAGACATTATTTTGTTTCTTTGCTAAACGTAGATTTAATGCAATTACTATTATTTTATTTTCGTGAAGCGTCGCATAATTGATTCCTTTTTAACGATATTCTTTAATACACACATTTTTGTAATTATGACACTAGGGAATTTTAACACTTATACCATGATCCAAATGTTCCTTTGCATTGTATAACCGTAGTTGAATTATTTAGTAAAACTTTCACTTATTGTGGAATGAACGAAGATATTAACATTAAGTTTGTAACACCAGTTTCGTTGGAGTATTTTTGTACCGCACTGTTTGATCTGCACTTAGAGTAGATTAGTGTATCAGTACAGACGTCGTATTATCTGGGAGGTGACGCTGCGTGTAACATCATATCCTGTTATTCATTTGCCTTGCTTCGTACGTTACGTGTGCGGTTAATAGGTTAAATGATAATTAGCTTTAGGACGACTGACACTATAAGCATCCTATAAGATCTAAATCTAGTTCAATAAATTTAATTGGTTGTATTACACAATTTATTTTTCAAATCTGTATTAAATATTTTTATTTTATTTCTTAAGCTTATATTAAAGATATTTGACAAATGTATACATAAATACTATAATATATTGACATTATTAGTACTTTCACAGTGCAGCCAATACATTAAATAGAAGCAAACAACAGCCATATTTTTATTACAACACATGCAGACATTCATAGTTGAATTATAAGCTTTAACGCATTCTTTTTATAATTGTTTTACGCACTAAGTCTGTAGCATGCGCATGTTAATTTTTATTATTCATAATTATTACAAAAAATAGTTAGTTCAAACTCGTACATATCTTATAGGATGTAAGTAAGACTATAAGATTTTCTAACGTAAAAAAAGAAAGATTTATATATCCAACTATGTACTTTAATTAAATTTAACACATGTATTTATATTAATCGAATTTTTCAGACTCCATTTGTACGTCAAAATACGCCGCATCCAAAGGAATTGAAGGCGAAGGCTCACAAGATACTTGGCCGTTCGCCAGAGAGTGCCCACGTGCAATCAGCTGCCCGCGATCTGCCTACTGCGAATGGTTTACCTACGTCACCTCCAGAATCCACGCCAGTGGCGGCGGTGCAAGACTACGAGGTACTTTTTTAGTTTATATAAAAAAAAACTGCAGATATGCATTACCGTGCATGTGTTCATACATAAATAATCTTTATATACACCACTGCAGGGCACAAGTCTCTTCCCATAAGATAACTAATTATATATAAGTGAGGGTGGTACATAGGGCTTTATCTCTGAGTCTCCTTTTGCTATGTGCTTATTTTCCCTAATTGATTCTTACGTCACAAAGGTGATTAAACTTATTTTTTGACACAAACTTTTGGTTTTATATGACAGTAAGAAGACAACAGTCGAGTCTTTATGAATGCCAACACTTGAGGGTTACTGCAGGTGTCACAATAGTTTTTTGTGATGTTCAGGTCTATAATTGATATTTAACACTTATGTATTCATTTTTTTTATATAGAAAATACTGAACTGTTTCGAAATTAAACTGTTTGTTCCATTTAGACATATCGCACGTGGGTATTTTTAAAGCGTTGACATTTAGACTGTGCTTTATTCTATGTGAGGGAGTTAAGTTCTCAGATGTATATACTGGCGCATAAGAAACCTAATACGAAGTTATATAGGATTCCCAAGTGCTAAATATATACCAGCGATAGGGGGGGAGGATCATAGATTAAGCTACATACTTGTTTTTGTTAACAGCCGGTACAAAACACGGAAGTTGATTCCGATGTCAGACATGAAGATAACGAATACACAGGAGCTGTTGAAAGGGACTCATCCGAAGGTGAAAACGACGATAACGACGACTCTGACGAATTAGAGGTACATTTTTTTTATAGCAAGACCTTAACAGTTTTATTAACATTTTTTATTCTTTTCAAATGCTGGTAACAATAAGTAGACTTGAAAATATATATGCTTCCAGAATTAAACTGTTCTGGAAATAAAATAAGGGGTTTATAAGTTATTTCATAATATAAATTATAATTATTAATATTATATTTTAATATAAATAACCATGTTTTCTCTTGCTCTTTCTTTTGGTATTTATTTGCTTAGCATAACTGTTGGTTTAGTGCACTTTCGGGGATCGTACTGTACTTATATTGTATAATTAAGAATGCAATGCATATATACAATAACATTAAATATTGTCTGTGGAAATCGTTGCATTATATGTACGATGAATGGTGATTAATAATTGCAACTATGGTTAATTTACTGACTGTCTAATGGACTACTATTTAATGCACGGTCAATGAGAACACATTTTTTCAATTTAATTAGTAATAACAGAATCTTAAAAGGTTACAAATCCTCTGCATTTTCCTGAAGTTGCGATAGCTGGTGATAATTATTTACCATCAACTATGCTGTTAAAAAAACGTCCATGCCTTTTTATAATTTATGGACTCTGTTAGACTAGTTGTTCAAGCAGTTTCACCCACATGAAACCTATAGCTATTAGCTATATTATTATAAAAAAAAATATTCATTAGTATTAGCGTGGAAGTGTAAGAAACATGCATTCACACTCGCAAACTTCCGCGTTTATAATATTAGTAAGCTAAATAATAGTCCATGGATGTATTGCTACAAAACGTTTCCCGTGCAAGTGCACCTAAACGTATGAGATTGGTCGGTGGCGGGTAGCACGGTACGCGGCGCGTGGCGTGGCGCGTGTCGGTGCAAGAGCGGGCGGCGCCCACGGGCGCGGGTGGTCGCCTGCATCGCCGCGACACACCACACCACCTCAAGAACAAGCGCGTCAACCAGATCGACGCCGGCCGGGCGCGCGACCTGATTGCGCAGGTGCTGCCACCTAGCATAAACGACTCTTGTGTCAACCTCGCGGAAACCCAGCGATGACTAATGCTTTATCGTCGCGTCTGATAAACGATTATAACACTTCCGTTTTAATTGGTCTGATTGATTGTTTATAGTGAAGTGTTGAATCCAAGCGGGTATTCATTGGTGCGAAGTAGTTATAAATTGTTTTATTGTATTTTACATAAGGATTATTTTACTAAATACGGACACATATTCAATGAATTTTTTTTTCATTATATAAGATTTAATTTCACATAACTGATTTTAATAATATGTCATTATGGCCAGTATATGCATGGCTGAAAATTGTAGCAATGTGTATTAAATAAAAAAATAATGATATTAAACTAAATATCATGTTAATATATACAAAAAAAAGTACAGTTGATAAAAAGCCTCTTCTTTTTGAAGTCAATTATAAATATGGGTTTTTGAAATAACAAGAAACATAAAACTTTCTATAAAAAAATAAATTAATTAATTAACTACATCCTAGCTATATAATTTATTATATCACACGCATTCTTCTCTAAATATATGTTTGTAAGTTTGGAAACATTTTTCCTGTAATAAAACGTTTATTGCAAAAATGTGCCGGTCGAAATTAAAGCTTAATTATATGTTTCCTGAACTAAAGGAAATATAGAAAGATATACGGAAATGACGGACACATGGTTGTTGTTTCTAATACTAAATGTGTATCGAATATTCGTGATGCTTGACTTGTACCATTGTTTACAAGTGTCGTTATACCTGTACCTTGTACAGTTTATGCAAATATTGACGCTGGTAAATGTTGGCATTGCTGGGTTTCTTGCACATGACCAGTAGTAGCTGATAACATTGTTGTTGTTCTGTAGCATGACTCTGTAACCTATTTGGATGTATTCGTTTTTAATAACATGTAACTGTTGCTTGTTTTGTGTTTGGTTCTGGTATCGTAGCTAGACTCTCATATGGACTTGTTATAGTAGGTCATGGTTAATTTGGTAGTAGTTATAGTTGTTTTGTATTGAAGTAACATAGTTTTTAATGTTTGTTTTTTCTTGTATACAATATTCAGTAATTATAATTCCAATATAAAAAAAAACAACTCCAGTACTTATAATGATCTAATTTCTGTAACGCATTGGCAAGGTGTTATTTCTCAATAATCCTTTTTTTATGTATTCTTAATGGCTACAGCATATTGCCCACCTGATGGTAAGTGGTAACCGACGCGTCCATACATAAACAGCAATACAAACATAACATTATATTACTTATTATAGCCAGTTAGTGCATTATAAACAAATTAGTTCTAATTAAAATATTAGTTATACTTCATAACTAATATTTTGCTATTTTTACTGTCATAATTAATCAAAAGAGTTGTAGCTCAAATTGAATGGAATATCGTGTCAGCTGAAACACTACTCTTTTCAAATACGTTAAACTTGTATTCACTTTATTATTTGAATGTATAAAGCGATAATAAGTGATAATGAGAGAGTCATGATGAAGAGCATTAAATCATTAATAAAATTAGTAGTAATTTAGGAAATGTAGTACCTTGGTATAAGTGTTCTTAGGCGTAAAATTTCACCTGTATATACTCAAAAACTTGAAAAAATTCTCCATACATATTGATAGTAATCAAATATAAATGATATATGTGTATTCAATTGGTCTTTTTTTTTTTTTTTGTTAATAATTGCCCCGTGGTGAGGATGACGTTAAGTCAGTATGTCGTATGGTGAATTCACCAGAAATTAATCACAATTGTGTCTAAGAATAATGTGGAGGTCAACCTCAATTATTGCTTTATAATTTTTAGTGAATACAAAAAAGTGTATGAAATAAATATACTTTATTAAGACAATTGCATTAAGTGACAAAATTAATCAGTCTTAGTAAAATGTTTTAATAAAAGACTATATATCACTATGAAATAATCCCGCCAAAATCTTTGAAGTATTCTTAAAAATACCTGAAATTCACTCAATAAGAGTCTAAAGGTCAGATCAATATTATTGATAAAAAAAAAAGGAAATAAACGCTCTCATTTATCGGATTATATTTATGATATAGATTTATCGTTAATCATTTCCTTGATAGTACAATTTTTACTTACGCGTACATGCTTTAGTATATTCATTTTGTTTGTGTAGTGATTCAAGAATATAATACACATTGCGTAATTAAATTGAAAATTTTAACTGTTTATTAATTTGGTTTGTCTAAAAGCTGAGTGATTATTTATTTACTTGCATTGTGAAATGTGTTTAAGTTTTATGAAAAGCTTCCTGTAAACGCATGTATGTTACATTTCTGATATTCCTACGGTTTAATTAAAATGTCGCTGTTAGTGGCATGTATACATTTCATATTATGTTTAATATATATTACAAACTGAAAATCCACTTTAAAGTTTTAGCTTTAAAGTGTAATTTCAAGGATGTGTAATGTTTTATTTAATCTAGTATTATACTTAGTGCGGTATGCTAACTATTGCAATCTCAGTTGGAATAATGAAATCTTTGCCATACTGGTTACCGTAATACACATCAAATATAGTTTACACAAGACTGTACGGTAAAAGTTGAAGAGAAGGAGACTGGCAGAAACAATAGACTCGTGAGATTGTTTCACAGCGCATCTACATAGGCTGTGAGCACATTAACGTAGAATGATCAATATGGCGGGTCATAGCATTAAGCTATAGCCTGTTTTAAAATGACAAAGTAATTACCAACTTTCTTATACTTGTAACGAATTAATATGTATGCATGTTTATTTGGAGCGGGAAATAAATCGGATAACATCAAATCTTGGCGTGTAAATAAGCAATAAATCTGTCAGTGAGTCGCTCCGTTTCTGTAATCACGACCCGACCGTGGGTAATTGTTGGAATACCGCGGGTGTTACGGGCTGATGCGCGCGGGCCCTCGACCACAACGTTCACCGTAGACCCTCTGTGAGGCTCGCAGAAATGAGTGCCTTACACCGCGCAGCTCATAACAATGCTTCGTGTACCGCGATTAATCGATAAGTGAAGTGCCGCTTTCTCAATACCAGTGTTGTGTTAAATATATCGCCAATAAACACCGACTAATACAAGTACCAGTTCCTTATCCGTTACCTATTAAAATGAGGTGCTTGAAAGCGGCAGGAGGATGGCTCGCCCGGGTGAGATACCTATGCGAGATAAAGACAGATTTCAATTTAGATTCGACTGCATTTTGTTTGGCTTGGCTCGCTTGCGTTTTGTGATATCACCGTACCGTTTCACTGAAATGTAATTTAAAATTTTATAGTTACTTCCTAGTGGCTGTGGCAGATGTCGCTCGTGATAATGTTATACAATATGCCAAACTCACTTTTCGCCTCTTTATTGCACGATACGATCGAAGTTTATAACTATATGACACAGAGTGTAACATGACAATTTGTTTGCAGGCGATTAAGAAACGAGAACAACAAGAGGAACAGAAAACTGATGATGAAGAAGCTGGTGAAGAAATCCCCGGAGATACGGCTGATGGTAAGTCATAATTGTTTTTTATGCGGTTATATCTTAGCGATAAATTTATATAAACAATGGAATGAAATCCCGTCGTACAATGTTTTCCTGTCATCATTATATATGGTAGCTAGGTTGAAATATCATTTTACACTGTCGTGACCACATACTGTCATGTTGCGATCACGAACGTGAATCGAGCGAGTCGATTGTCACTCTCCCGTCATCACACACAGAGGTAACGACAGCGTTTATATTTGTAAGAAAAATATTGCATATCTTTCTAAATTTGTTTGTCGTGGTTACAAATAAAATTATATTTTTCGATATGCTGGATAGTATTAAATATTGTTCCACACTACGATTTTTGTAAATAACAATTAACGAATTTTGGAATATAGTAAATCATATATTCCTATTAGTTTACTCTGTGAACAATAGCATGTTACATTAGACATTTTTTTAACAATTGTTTAATTTAGTACCTGTTTTAACATCTTGTCTAAACATTATATGTGAGCGGACGGTCATTATTACGCAAATAAGTCAACGAAGCGTTTTCCATAAGTAACATACGCTTTGAAGCGGAAATTTGTAACCCATTAAAATTGTCGTGGAGCGGAAAAATGGGGCCTAGCGAAAATGTTCTTATCTACCCTCTTGTTTTATTTTAAGCAATAAGCCAGGACATACCCAATGATCGTTTTGTATAGAGTAGATATCGCGACGTTATCAGCTTATCTCCTGCGCTCGGCGTGCCATTTCGCTACGTAGAACGAAACCCCACAATGCTTCATTTGTAGCGAGTCTGCCCGCCATATAACACTTTTGTGAAATTTAATAATAATCGAGTCGCGTGTTTGTCTTCATGCGACCAAACGACTAGAATTCACGATCAGTGACCAAACGGTGATACCCAAGTGGACTGTGAATCAGATCGGATTTGTACACAATCGATTAGTTTCAAAGCGGTTTGCGTTGACATATCTGGTTGTGAATTTAGTTTTAAAACGGTTATTTCGTTTTTACCATTGTTGGGTTATTGTGGAACTGCAAATCGAGTGCTGGAATAGGAATATACAGTGTATTCGGCAACCTATAAATATGAAACTTGGAATAAATAAGTACCAAAATCTTTATTACTCATTCAAAACGTGGCGCTTAGTCAACTTACGAAGGTCAGACTTGGTTATTGTATTTGCGCATAAGTGAGTACTGTTCTCGAACTCTCGGATTAAATATCTTGGTATGAGTTGATTTGCTCCCTTTTTCTTTAAAATTACAGGCTAATACCCTGTACCTGCTTTTCGCCATCAACTTTCTCTGGTAACTGTACTATGCAGTGTTACTTAATTGTTTATAGCAAGCATTACTGTCACCACCGAACCGTTCTCAGCGCTGCTGAACTTAATACTTTCCCACACTCACTTAAGCGATCTCTTAATTTTCGTCGCCCTCTATAAACGAGATCTGAGAATTACACCCGTTAACACTCCGTAGCATTACTATTAAGCAGTTAAAGTTATATGTGATTCGCAAACACTACCATGTGTGTTAACATTTGGGTTTACACTATGTCGAAACGTTTACATTTCACGCTCATCTAATACACGATAAAATTCCTGTAGAGATATGGCTACAGATATTTTTTACCATGGCATTATCTTGTAGTTGCTCTTTTTGCAACTAAATGGCCCACTTTGACCCACTTTTGTCCTACTTGTTCATACTTTGAATTTGAATTGTAATAGAACACGACATTTCAACTACCTATATAGACATGTGTCATACAAATTGTATGAATTTAACTATACATGTATAAAAACATTAAAGGTAACATTTTTATTCAAGTTTTGGTAAGTTTTTAATATATAAATTTTCCCTGTTAATAAAACTATTATATTTGTCTGCTAGCTTAATAGATTTTAAAATATTAATACATATATGTTAAAAGAATACAATTTTATTAAATTTACGCAATAAATAACATGTTTGCTTATACAAACACATTTCCTGCCTTGACTATTAATTCTCGACAATTAGTGTGTATTTAATTGAATTGCGCGAAGCAGTTCTCACAATTAACATAAAATAACTAACGATCCCTGATCTCCGAATCAGTGAGCATAGAGGCGTGTCCTAACTAGTGTAACAATTTCACCTTGACCTGACTGTTCCCTTTAATATTCTTCACCGTTGTTTATTAGAGAATGATACAAGGTAAATGATAGAACTAATGCATATAGATGTAATGACATCGCACGCAGCATGCGTCTCGAATATCAAATTATAGGAGCGATATATAGAATACGTTATAGTTAATATCAAACAATATGTCTTCAGGGAAAAGATATGAATAGGTAGTTATTTGTTTGCTCATGGTACGTGTAATTGAACTGACAATATTATCTTATCAATTTCAATAATAATGATTCCAGTGTCAGTCGTATATTGCATTCTTCATAGTAGTGCTGTGTGTATTATTCGTGATTGATTACTTTCATAAATATAATAGTAATATTTAAGACGTACACCAGTTGAAATAAATTTAGATACAATGTTCTTGTTGTAATAACTATTATGCAATACATTTCAGTATTATTTAATTTACTCTAAAATAATATGATATCTATTTATGTATATGTTGTTATTTTTTAACTTTTGACCAATTTCTTTAATTTATATATGTAATTTTCTTTAATTAGTATATGTGGGTCAGATAAGACTAGATTTGATTAATGTCGTAAGGGCATTATTATAATTACTAGTTAATTACATGTGTATTGTATAATTATAGTAATGTTGTGTTTTATAACTACATTGTATAGTAGAGCTGTGTCGATAAATGCCTGCAACGATAGTGGGGCACTATCGTTTAATGTGTAATAATTTCTCTACTTTTTCTCTTTAGGGTCATCCGATCTAATCCGCTTTCGTAATTTGATGGATGTGACATGATCATAACGTGCCCTGAGATATGAACACCTTTGGAGATGAACTGCTAATTATCTCACGTTTCACTATCGACTATTTTATTCATCATATTTTTTTATTACCTGTCTGAACATCATTTTTGATGCCATGAGAATTGACAGTACCTTTGTCTGTTAGTCGTGTCGATGTTTCGGCTATGCTGTTTTAACCTCAATTAACTCGGACAACGGTGTTCTTGTTCTCGGTTGTTGTGGTCATTTACTAATACATCGACGGTCATTACTCATCATTCATGAACAACGTTGTAAACGTCATTTACTTTCCTTCGTAATAAGTTACATTGTTATATAACATTCTCTATGAGCTATAATTAATTTGTTATTAAATTTAGAGAGTTTCTGATTCCAGCACTCGAAATGTCAGTGTGATATTTAAATCTAAGAACGTAAATAGTTTAAATAATACCTATTGGTGTATATTTTCGTTGAGTATGTGAACTTTATTAATATGAAAGACAAAAGACTACAATTAAAGTTGAGTGTCCGTTCAGACGGGTCACTTACCCGTAATAACTTAAGAAGTAGTAATAGAAGTATATCAAGTACAGGAAGCAATAGCAGTGCTGGTTTGCCTGTGAGCGAAATATTCGCTATCGATCGTTTCGATCCGCCTCAAAATAGACCTTTCGTTATTCTCAACAAGTACAAGCGACAACCCAATCAATATCCAGGACAAAGCCTACCAGCTTTAAATGAAAATGATACAAAATATGTAGGCGGTTCAACTAGAAGAAATACAACGTACTTTGATTATCCAGAACAGGATTTTTTTGCGTATCCGTATCCGCATCCATATCCTATCCAATATGTACCACATTTTCAACCAATGCGATATGAAACACTTCATGAGGATGCAATTGGGCCTATGTATGGATCGTTGCCTCGACCGACGACATCGATGCATCATAACCAAAATGAAATTGTACCAAATTCTGGTAACTATACTTTGCCTGCGAGATCGGGGCCAAGACGAGTCCGTATCAGCGAGAGCCGGCCTATTGTGCACGGATATGGTATGTCGTAATGTAATTCAACATGATGTTTACTTTTATTTATCTAATACAAATTTAAATTGCTTTGGTCGAAATAGCCTATGGAAAGATATTTTCGATATGATAAAATTGTAGTGAACTGTGTTCAAGTCTTGTCAAACGGAATATTCTGCGTATATCCAGATTTAGTGAAGTTATTAACAGCAAGCTGTGTTACCGGAGAGAGATTGGCCTTATAGAAAGCTTTGAATAAAGACCAATCTTGTCGTTAACCAGCAATATATCACAATGTAACTGTCACTGGTATAAATTTTCTCTTTCAACAATGCTACTGTATTTATAGCAGATTATTTACATTCACAGTTATTTCTCTGTTATTAGTATTTCCGTTAGTGTCGTAATGACACATAGATAATGGATATGAAACATAAAAAAATATTCTTTAACCAAGTTACTATTGTACAAGATCTTTACCCCTTTTACTGTTGACAATAGCACACAATCTCGCTCTATGTACATATATTTCTTACATTATTCTCTTTCATTTAATGTTTATACGTAGCCAAATCAATGTAAAATCGTATTTCCAATATTTGTCACATCAGTAGTAAATGTGTGGGCAACTATTTATAGCAAAGTCAGAAGTGATATCTTGACATCTAATTGCAATAAATTAACTTATTTTATATAGAGTCATAAATATCTAGCGATTCATAAGAATAAACTGAGATTTTTAAACCAGCATTATTATATATACTTTTCTATATCATGTTGTTTGTGTTTTGAACATTCAAATATATGGCATAATTAGATCCGAACGATATGTTCCGATTAAAATTATTGTCATATACTTTATATGTTTTATTGATGTGTGCGTAAGTGGGCCGAGAGCTAGCCAGCCCTCCCGAGGGACGGACAACAATAGCTGCAGCAGGGCACTCTCCCCGCGCTTACTGGTGCGCTCTAATGAACCACACCGATATCAGGTGGACGACGCAGACGCCCTTGCCGTCAGTATACCATACACCTCCACCTC